AAAAATTATTAACATAAATAAATAAATGTAAACGATTTTTTAAATCGTTCAGAAACCCGTGATCACCCTCTGTATATTGAAGATTTGAATGAAATTTTACCTGAAGAAATAACTTCTACTATTCCTTCATATTCAAATGAAATGGACCTACAAAAGAAATTTTAAATGATATATCAAATATTATTAAGAGCTTCACGAATGAAAGACCGGACTCTTACTTTGATAAATGCCTATTACTTGGGAAAACTTTTAGAAACAGAAACTTCTTCATCAGTACAATAAAGTCAATTAAGAGGACTTGTTATCAAATACTATAGTTCTATCTCAATACGTGTTTATTACCTCTATGAAATGCTAGGTATAGATCAAATTCAACAAGCGAAACATATATTATTGAAGAATCTTTATCAACTCCCTAGTCAAGTATACTGGTTTCTAGTAAATGAAATAATGGATATTTGGGCAAGAGCTCAAAATTTAAAAGAGGAAGATTGAAGCTGTGATTTGTGACTACGCTAAAAATAAGTCATGTGATCTAAATGATCGACATAGTTGACAAAGTTGACAAAGTTGCTAAAGTTGTCAACGTTGATCAAGTGGACAAATTAGATAAATGAATTATAGTTCTTATCTTTATTAATTATATCTTATTTATTATATATATTATATTTATCATAGTTATATTATTTATTCTTTTTATTATATTTGTTATAGTTGATTTTATATTATTTCATTTTATATAAATATCTTGTATTTTCTCTTGAGTTGAAAAGTAACTCAAGTTGAGATTTTAGGATAAACCAAGAGTTTAATAAAGGAATTGTTAAATTCATTTACTATTACCTTTTAACATATTTTCATATAGACGTGATTGTGATATTGTCTTGTATTTAATTTGACAGATTGAATTAAAAGTTTATCGTTTAAATTTACAGATACCAAGTCAACATCATCTAACATTTATTGATGATCGAGAAATATTAGTTGCGTTATTATATTATAGGTGCAACTGTGAAGAATCTTTACAATCAGAAATCATGTGAATACTCAGATAACTAAGAATAAACGTTTAGAAGGCATTCACCTGAACACTTTATACTGAAATCTATCTTCAGCCATAATATCACGTAATGTGTAAAAATTTTTATTAATTGCATTTTGCGAAATAGTGAAGATAGTGACTTTGCAAAGCTTCATCTTTTTTGAACAGTAGCTTGATCGTAACATTTTGTCACTGTCTAAATTTTATCAAATGGATGACAACTCTAGATAAAAACATTACGTGCATGTGAACAATAATCACATTTGTCAAAAAAAAAAATATTTTATTAATATAGATGCAAAAAATAAATACAAGGTTGGGATTTAGCTTGGAATACATGATGAATTTTTTATGCCAGTGACTATACAATTATTTTTCTTGATTATCTCTTCTATTGATGCTTCTTATTTATGGATTCATTGCTAGCTGACACCCTATCCTTCAACAAACCCATTATATCCTCTTCACATTCTTTTATAATTTAGCTGAATCATCGAGAGCATCTTCCATTAGTGAAATTTGATATTTAGTCCTATTCGTACAGTAGATAGCCTTGGTATTATGCAGGATGAAATACCAGTCTGTGGCTGAAATTAAGAAAGATGTGAGTTAGTAATGCACAAATCAATGCTGAAAAAATAATAGCACCTAAAACATTATACCACCTGTTGTGATAATGCCATAGACATACTTATATTCTGAGTCAAATGTTTAATCTGCCTTTCGCTTTTTCCTGAGCATATTTAGGTTCATCTATTTTTTAGATAACTGATAAGTTAGTATATAAGAAAAAAGAAGAATATATAAATTATCACCACTTACATCACACGAACTTTTACATTGTATTAGATTTTACGCTACTTCTTTACCCAGTTGATTTTGCTTTCCTTCAGTTATGCAAATAATTTCTTCAAACAATTCTTTAATGATTTTTTGATTGTATAGTCTACACAGCCAGAACTGTCAACATCAGTAACTATCATCTGAGATGAAATGAGCAAACCTTCGAAAAGACTGACAGCTGTGTGAAGGATTGTTGAAATATATTAACAGCGCATAGCCTCATTACTGTCAACAACTGAACCCATATTTTATTCTGCAAAGAATGTTAATACAAAGTTTAAACTTTGGAGAATTTTTCTCTATAAGGTGGGGTCTATAATTGGAATTTGTAAGTCCAAAATTTCTTAACAAAAAAAGTTGGTATGCATAGGAGTGAACTGAGGTATGCTTGTTATACTATCACTATTAATATTATATTTTACCAATACCTTACTCAAATTGCAATACGACAAGAATGCACGTTTTGATTTTTCTTTAAGAGCCTTAATTTCTTTAGCAAGTTTTATTATGGGTCTACCAGGAAGCTTGCGAAGAATATCATAATGCTTTTTATCATTGAGCTTAAGATTCTGCTCTTTCAAATAATCGATAAGGGTCTCTATATCACAGTAGTAGTATTCTAAGACATTTTAATATATTAATATATTAAAATGTCCTAGAATACCACTTGTCCAAGATTAATATGTCCTAGGATATTATA